TGGTCCGGGGGTCCGGGGTTCCTGCTCGGTAAACCATTCATCCTTCAGCGATGGTCATCGAAATTTAAGCCAAAGAGGGACAAATCGGCCACTATCCCTCTCTGGATCAAAATTCTTGATCTTCCCCTTGCTCTCTGGATGCCGATAGGTATATCTAAAATAACTAGTTTTATTGGTATACTGTTATATATTGATACACTCACGGCTAAGAGGACCAGGCTCACTTTTGCAAGGGTTTGTGTACAAATTGATAAAAATTCTATTTTGTCGGATGAAATTCCATTAGAAATTGATGGGTAAGACATGTTTTTAAAAGTCATTTATGACTGGAAACCTACCCGTTGTGAAGGATGTGGCTCTCTCATTCACCCCTTTGCTTTATGCCCCTCTAACCCTGCTCTGAAACCTGCTCTTCCTCCTAAACCGATTTTTCGGGGTAGAAGCAAAAGCAGAAATCCAGTTCTAAGATCCCTCGTCCTACTTTCGCCCCACTGCACAACTCCTCCCATTTCCTCCCCAGTTTCAAACTCTATGGTGGAACAACAATTGGTGGCTATGCCTATTAATGTCTCGTCTGATCCTATTGCCACATAAATCCCACAGTAGCTGGCGGCTGGTCCTATTGCTGATAAAGATCCCGTACTATCTAATATAAACCTACCCAATGAAGAATCTTCTTCATCTAACCAAACCCTCTCACAAAAACTCATGCTTCCCACTCAAGTCATTCTTGTTAATATAATCGCTTCGCTTCAAGCTGATATCCCTGCTCTCTTAGAGGGAGATCCGTTAGAGGATGAAAACTCTTTGTCCTCTCAACCTGAAGACTCTCAACTTCCTAACTCTAATGACTCCAAAGCCTCCTCCTCCTCCTCTACAAAATAGCCTTCCAACAAAAACAAATCCCTAGCAAAAAAAACCAAAGCCAAATCGGCCAAGAAGGCCAAACATTCTAAGTAGTTATGTCCCTTCCCCCTTTAGCCGCTTGGAACATTAGGGGTTTTAATAACCCCGTTAAACTCAAGATGTGTAAAGATCTCATTTCCACTTATAACCTTCAGTTTCTATGCATTTTAGAATCTAAAATCCAGCATTCTACTTCTGTTGACCCTTGGTTTTCCTTTTCTCTTGTTTTGTTTGAAAATGAAAAAAGTTGTGACAATTTTGGCTGTTATACTCCTAGTAGAATTTAGGTGAAATGGGATTCTTCTCAACTGTCTTTCTCCCCTTCTTTTACCTCTTTTCAAATCATCCATGACATTCTAGAAGTGGGCTCCTTACCCCCTATCTACCTCTCAGTCATTTATGCTGCTAATCTTGTGGAAGACGGGAAAGTTCTTTGGGATAATCTCCTTCGTTTATCAGCTGGGATTGACCAACCTTGGATTATCATCAGTGATTTCAATTGTTGTAGGTTTGATTGTGAAAAAGCAGGTGGTAGTTCTTTACCTGCTGGTAGATTGGGAGAACTTAACAGCTTTATTTTTTATTCTGGTTTGCAAGACCTTTCTTATGTGCGGCTCTTTTATACTTGGTATAACCAAATGATTGATCTCCCCATACATATTAAGCTAGACAAAACTTTGATTAATATGGATTTTTTTGAATTATTCCTGGCTGCTTATTACAAAGTGGATCCTCCCTCGGGATCTAATCATTCACCTTTGATTTTCTTGACTACTCATGTTAAAAGAACCTTTTCCAGGTTCATGTTCAAAGATTTTTGGATTAATATGGATGGTTTTTGGGAGGAGATTCTCTTGGCTTTTGATAGGCCCAAATGTGCCAGTCATATTGCTTCCTTCTACAATTATTTGAGGTATCTTAAGAAATCTATTAGTGGAAAAAATTAGAGCTCCTCTAATTACATTTCTAATGCCATTCTTGACGTGAAAATCTTTCAACTTCATTGCATTTCTGATATTCAAAAGGATCCTTTGAACCTGGACTTGAATACTTCTCTCAAGAATGATAATGACAAGTTGGCTTGTTTGCAAGCCGCTTTGTCCTTTTGGATTTCTCAAAGAGAAAAAGCCTATTGGCTTTCTCTAGGGGATGATAATCTTGGTTTCCTTTATGCGAAGATTAGATCTAGGAAGAACAAAAACTCTATTAAAGAGCTTTCTTTTCCTACTGGACTTCTCTCTTCTCATCAAGATATTGCAAATGCTTTGATTGATCACTTTAAGGTTCTTTATAATCCTCCTACTCCTATTATGGAAAGCTCTTATAACATCCCTGTTGGAAATATGGTACCCACTAATATGCTTGCTGCTTTAGTTGCTCTGATTTTCAATGAGAAAATTAAGAAAGTGGTTTTTGCTGGTGTTCCTTCCTCCGCCTCGGGACCTGATGGTTTTTATTTTGGTTTTTACCAACATACTTGGCACATCACTGGGTTTCAATTATATAAGGCTATTAAGCATTCTTTTCCTCTGGGCAGATGCCTAAAGGTGCTAAAGCCACTGCTATTACCCTTATCCATAAGGGTACTCATTCCAACTATATTTCAGACTTCAGACCTATTTCTTTATGCAATATGTTTTATAAAATTGTGGCCAAGATTATTGCAAATATGATGAAGCATATCCTTCCTTCCATTATTTATGAGAGTCAATTTGGTTTCATTGCTTAACTTCAGTCTCAATCATCTTATGTATGATGATGACCTTCTGGTTTTTGGTTTGCCCATTGTGGAGAATGCTATTTGCATGAAGGACATCCTACAACAATTCTCAAAAGCATCAGGTCTTCATATTAATCCAACCAAAAGTTTTATACTTTTGTTTTATAAAAAAAGTTCATAATGAGCCTGAGATCTCTACTTCTCTTGGGATCTCACTTATTGAGAACTCACTCACCTATTTGGGGCTTCCCATTTCTGCTAAAAGGCTAAATTTCACTCACTTCCAACCCTTTATGAGCATAATTTATGCTCTACTTGAGGGTTGGAAAGTTAAGTTTCTTTCTTTTGCAGGTAGAGTTCAGTACATGAAATTTACCATTACCAACACTATTGCCTATTAGATTCGAGAGGCGATTATTCCTAAAGCTTGCTGCAAATTTATCTCTAAATTCTGTTCTAAATTTATTTTCTTTGGTAACATAAAGGATAAAAAGATGCACCTCATTTATTGGAATTCTGTGGTCATGCCTAAATGCAAGGGTGGATTAGGTCTTCCATCCTTTGATTCTCTCTATCATAATATGGCTTGCTCTTTTATCTTAAGGATGTACAACTATAATACGATGATTAGCTCTTGGTTTAAAGAGAAGTTTGTTTCTCCCTGGAAACTTCCTCCTACTACTGCTTCAAAGTTTTGGAAACTTTTTTTTTCATACATCATCCTCTATTATGAGTTTGATTTCCCTCTTGGTTCATAAAAATTGTAACCTCTCTTTTCTTTGGGATCTTGGTGCAATCGACAAACTGTATCTGCCTCTTTTAACTCCACTAGACTTTCCCATAGATGGGTTAAAGAGTTCATCTCTAATAGACATTGGGTCCTTCCTGATTACCTTCCTGCTATTGTTAAGACATCTATCTTGGGTATTGTCGTTGAGGAGGAGCAACTGGTTTTTCTTAGGAGGGCTCCTCTAATCCTTCCTCTAGGAATTTCACGGCGCTTTTTTATTCTCAATATAATGATGTGGTTTCGTCTAAATACATTTGGCACAATAAATATGCTCTTCGTTATGCCTATTATGCTTGGATGGTTGTGCAAGGGAAGTTAAAAACTGCATATAATCTTATTAGGAGGGGGATTCCTGCTTACCCCTCTTGTTCCTTTTGTCTTGGGAACTTGGAATCTCATTCGCATCTATTTTTTTATTGTGATTATTCATTCTCGATACTCACTGCTCTGCTCTCGATGATGGATAAATTCTATTTAAGGCCAAATATTAAGCAAGCTTATGATTTTGTGGGTAACTGTTTGAACTTTAATAGGATGGAGAAAATTTTTTGCTTCCTTACCTTGTCTTGTATGGTTTACTATATTTGGAGAGAATGAAACAATAGTAGGTTTTCCAATTATTGGATTAGTCCAAATGCTTTAAAAGCTGCTATCATTCATGCTATTCGTGCTAAAACAAATCAGTAGAAGTGCAATGAGCAGCTTAAGGAGAAATTTTTGGAAATCCTGGGCTGAATATTTGTTTTTGGTTGCTGGCTCTATGGTATGTGCTTGTTCTATATGGTTGTCACCATTTTTCTTTTATGCAGCACTTCTTTTTGGCCTGCTATGGCATGTTGATCACCTGGGAGGGTTTATTTTACTTGTTATGATAAGGAATTTTTTGTTACTACTGTGATATGATTTCTGCTCTCCTTCTTTTTGGCCTATGGCAGTTTTTTGGTCTTAATCTCTTTCTTAGTTCAGTTGCCGACTGCTTCGATTATGTTTTTTGGGAAGATGATGAGCAAATATCTACTTCTTTCCAGCATCCTTGGATGATCTTTTTGGCAACCAGGACTGTATCTCTTGATGGCTTATTTCGGAGGTTCTGTGATGGCCCATTTTCGCCATTTAATATGGCTACGAGCAACCTACGCCCTCTTTCTACTGGATATGTTGACTTATCACACAAATCGGTGCAGTGATGTTTTGATGTAGACCTTATTTTCCTGAGTTCTTATTTTCTTGCTTGATTCCTTTTCTTTTTGGATTTTTGCAAGATATAGTTGTCTATATACTTGTAATTTTCACTATTTTTTATAATTGTAATACCATGTGATTCAATTTATCCGGGCTTTGGCCCTCAATTTTCTAAAAAAAATAAAAAAAAATAGAAAGCAATTTTAAAATATTTTATTAAAGTCACCACAATCATTGTATTTTGACTAGGTGGAGTTAAAATAAAATAAAAATGATAAGCGCAAAATAAAGCAATTTTTAGGACAACTTTATTTTCTCTCTTTTTTAAATATATAGTATAACATAAAATATATATTAAAATAATTGAAAAAAAAATTTTTTTCTCCAAAGGGCCCAGAACAAACCAGCAAAGCTCCCCTGCCCATCCTCTGTTCTGCATCTTTTTCTATCACTGCTTCTTCGCTGACGCCCGGACGAGCTACCATGGCAAAGGCTCTCAACAGTACCTCTGATATTTTGCTTCTGCCCGACCTCAGGCACGAAGATCTCTTCATCGCTGGCGACAAATGCAACCTTTCGCCACCTGAACTTCACTCCAGCAACGGGGATTCTGTTTCAGCGCTCTCCCGGCGTGTTGCCCAGTCGTTCCTCCACAAAGACGAAGACTTCAACTCTCTACTCATCAAGCGAAAGCAGAACTCTTCTGCTTCTTCTAAGCGCGCCGGCGATGAATTTTACCAAAATCGATCTTTTACAGAGCAAAAGCTTGAACTTGCTCGAGTAAATTTCCATTTCCCAACTCGTTTCTCCTTTGTAGTTTCTCTCTACTAATCTAATCATCTTTTTTTTTTTTTCGTTCTGCTCCCTCTCTGCAGTTTCACGATCTCGAACAGCAACAACTGACGAAAAATCAGCTGTCCACTGCTCGAAGACTGCAGAGCATAGCAAAAGTTTCTCGTCCGCTTGGCTTCTTATCTTCCTCAGCTTCGCCGTCGGTTTTGCAATCCCAGGCTAGCTCCGGCATGCATGTGGTATTTCTCAATCCTCGAAAGGAATCCTCCGGCACCGGCGTGTTTCTTCCCCGGCAACCTGGAAGCCCTAACAAGCCGAGAAAGCAGCCAGGTTGGATTTTTATTTATTTATTTACCTTTTATCACTTAACCTTCATTATTCATAGATTTTTACTAAAGATGTTTTCTTTTATGCTGCCATGGACAAAAATTGTTAGCTTGCTCGACTGCTCTGCTTCCTGCTAGAGTTGTTCAAGCTTTGAACTTGAATCAGGACGATCTTTGCTTATATCCTCGCGCCCCAAGCCATGGCGAGCTTCTTCAACTCATCACTTTGGTTTCCTTTTTTCTGAGGGGGTTAACTTTTTGTTATGTCTTTGATCTGTTTCAGGAATCGATTTAGCCGGAAACCAAAAGCGCAGCAGCAGCATAAACCAGTCAACGTGGCCAGCCGGCGCCGCCGATCGGTTGCCATCGGAGTGGACCTACTGACATCTCCCATTTTATCTATTAATGCATATAACAGTTCAAAGTTAGTAAATAGAAAGAAAAGCTAGCAACACATATATTACAGGGTGAGTGGATTGAGGAAGAAGACGAGAAAGTTTCATTTTATTTACTTTTAATTTGCTGGACATTTTAGTATTGGATTTGAACAAAGGAAAGAAGTATTTGGATCGAAGGTAAAGATTAATGGATTGGGGGGAGTGTTTGGTTTTGTAAATAATATAGTCATCTTTTTACTTTTCTCTTCCATCTTGTTTCTTGAAATAATGGCAGAGCTTGTAATAATACTAGAATTTGAGAATTTCAATGTTTTTTTCAATAATTTCTCTACTTTTAATTAGCCCGAAATCTTATGCCCATATTTTTTTGATTGATGAGCATATTAACTTAACTTTTATCAGTTATCAATTATTAGTTCAAATAACTTTCAAGATTTTTTTTTCCTTCGTTTGAAGAACATAAATCTGATAAATTTTTTTATATATTCTGAGTAAGCCGAATTTATAGCATTAAATATTCGAAGATCAACCAGAATACGTCATATCACTCTTTGTTCGGTGATGCGGTTCGATACTGCAGCTCAATGCTACTGACGTGACATATTCTTGTTGGTTTTTGAATGGGATTCTCCGTCTGATCTCCGCACAGAATAATTTCTCTTGAGTGAGAACTTTCTGGTATGAACTCCTTCGGGTGTTAAAATTGTATTTGGGAAGTATTATTTTTTTATGTGCATATCCGAATATTATAAGTTCTATCTATAAAATTTCAAGCTTAAGATATTTGATTATCTAAAACTATTTTTTATTATCAACTATATAAACTTGTCACAATTTCCTCTTATAAATTTTCTTTTTAGGTTGGCGTTATGTGAAAATTTTGTGTTACTAATCGAATAAAAGTTTTTTTATTTGATTGAATTTTGAAGAAAATGAAGGTTTGTCTTTGATTATGTCTTTTACGATGTATTTTTCTGTTTGTTAAAATGTCTTATTTAAGAGAGGATGTAATAGATAAAATTATAGATAAGTTTTACTATGAAATGCGTCGATGGTATTTTAGATTTTTTTTTTTTTCAAAAAATATTTGGTGTTTTTGAAGGGTTCTTAGTTAATTAGTTGAATTTGACTTATACATATAAATAAAAGGGTTTTAGTTGAGAAAATAAATTTTAATTGAGATCTTTGATTATATATGTTTTATAATATATTTAGGCTTCGTTTGGGATGGATTTTTTTACTGTTTTTTTAAAGTAATTTTTTAATAGCAAATTGCTTTATAAAGAAATAGTAAGAAAGCTGTTTGTCTTAATGAGAGAAAAATATATATTTATTTTCTTGGGGGAATATATCTTGATTTTTTTTAAAATGAAATCACCTATTATTTTATACCCGTACAACTATTAAATTTTATCGTGAAAATAACTTATTTGAACATGATTTGGAAATCTATTTGATCTTGGTTCCAAAAAATAGTGCTGTAGTACGAACGTTTTGAGTATTAAGATTTCAAACGTTTTGAGATTATGAATGTTTTGAGTATTTTCTAGAAATTTTACAACATGTGTTTTGAAATTTGCATGATTTTTATTGAATAGAAATTTATTTGGACACAGAAAAATATTACTATAGTATAATAAAAAGTTTAAAAATAATATTTAACACAATACATGCTAATTCTTTTTTAAATGTACATTTTTTCTTAGTAAGGTTTTCTATTGACTATCATCAGAGAAATTTTGTGAAATTCTAACACAAGCTCAATTATGCTTATAATATGATTAAAAATATTCATATGTGATTAAATAATATTTGGTTGGAGTCATAATAGGTCAGAATCTGAGAATCCTTTGATATTCTGTTTGTGCCAGGGAATATTATGATGCCTTCTTTAAGATATGTTCTGATCGCTATAATTAATGTTATGATGCTATAAGCACAAAATGAGCCATAAAGGGCTATAATCTTTTAGATTCTATTTGGGTTCTAGAAATGTGATATAAACTACTTTATGATATAAATTACAATTTATTCATTTGCTCATTATTATTATTTTTTATAATTGTATAACTACTCTGCTTATATTACATTTCTCAGTACAATAATTTATTGGATTGTATTTTACTAATTTTAAATATTCAACAACATATTTAGTAAAAGAATTTTTAAAAATTTAGATTAGTTTGTGTGGTCAACTAAACTGTTGTAGCTCAATTTTGCTTCTGATTTTGAGGCTCTAAAAAAGGGAAGGAGCTTATGGATTAACATTTCACGACTAATTAGAGTTTATAGGCATTTACTTATTTTGATTTTTGAACAGACGTGACTAATTTATTATTTAGTTATGTAGCTTCTACATGTACCCATATACTGTAATATAGATATATTTTGATGAAATAAAAGAAATTTTATGGATGAGTTTATTTTTAGTATATGGATATTTAATATCTATGTAGTCTACAATTTATTTAAAATGAATATTAGAAGATAATATAAAATATTTTAAAACTAGATATTGGGATTTGCATGTGATAGCTCAATACGATAGGACATATCATGATCGGATTGAATTGTCATAAGTACTGTAAGATTACAAGTTTTTATTTTTTTTTGGGACATTTAGGCCATTTAAGGCAAACTCACACACACAACGCATACACATAGACTCGAACCTTGGACCTCTTAGTTGGAAGCCTAAGCTCTCAACCAATAGGCCAAGGAGAGTTGTGTATAAGATTACAAGTTAGTACAATAAGATTAATTTACTTCATCATTGATCGTACTATTTGAATGAATATATAGTAATACAATAAGATTAGTTTAATTGAATCACAATTCATCTAGGACAAACCACGGGAAGAAAAAAAAATCATATTTGTTGATCATCTAGTACAATCTTAAGCCATAATTAAGTCAAATTCGATTAATAATCATAGGATTAAATTATATTATATTTTAAAGCATCGTACAATATGATTATGTTGGTATAATACTAATAGAATAAAGTTTAAAATTCAAATTATTGCTTAATTTAATTAATGATAGGTTTTCTTAAAATATATGATAGTCCTATACAATTAGTTAGTTGTACAATATAATTAGTTATATTTTATTTCAATTTACTTAAGAAAATAAAAAATAAAATTATAGACTCTTGCATAAATCAAACATATGCTACCCAAACTTGAGTCCGAATTTTTTGATAATACTTGGTGTATAGTGAACCTAAAATATTAGTACACATTAAATATATATAATAATAAAACATAGGTGAAATTAAATACAATCTAATAATATTTGTTATCATTAAAACACAAACTTGCGCTCCTGGATTACAATAATCTCCCTAGGGGTATCAATATTTGGCACAACCCAAAAACCCGACTCGAACTCGACCCAAAAATTTCGGGTTAGAGTCAACCCGTTTGTGAAATTGGTCAAATTTGGGTTTAACAAATTGACTCGTTTAAAAAATCGGGCCGGGCATTGCCCTATTGACCAAGCCGCATGCTCGCGCCTACATCTCGTCTACCCTTTGTCTTTGCCTCTGCCAACTGCCCTGATGTGTCGCATGGCCTCACATATCGTCATTGACATGCTATCTGCATTTTATCGTGTCAAGTCGGGCAGATTTATGGGATTTGGCTGAATAAGCGCGCTAGGATGGTAGATTTACAGTATTGGGCTAAATAAGCATGCGAATGTTAGACTTATAGGTCGGGTTTGGTTGACCAGAACCTGAAGCGGATAGGGTTCGAGTCTAAAAAACTGACCTGTTTGTAGAAACATGTGATTTACGGGATTTGGTTGAATAAACATGCAAATGTTAGATTTACAGGTCGAGACGGGTCGACTCGAACCCAAAGCGGGTCGGGTTCGGGTCTAAAAAATTGACTAGTTTGCAAAAATGGATCGAGTTCGAGTCGGGTCGAATAATTCTGGGTCAGTTTCGGGTTTGACCTGAACCCGACTCGTGGCTCGATTTTGACAGCCCTCAATCTCCTCCTTTTTTATGATGATAAATATTATTGGTTGAATTACAAGGTAATTTTATTTTTCTTCTAACTTTTTCCCTTACTGAAGTGACTTCCTTAAAAATAGGGAAAATCCTATAATGTTTTTTTTTTGTTTTAATAATATAAAACAAAAACATAAGAAACACACAAAAGCTAGAAACAAAATAAACTGCACTAAAGGGAAAAATAATACATCCAATAACTTCCTACTCCCCCTTTTCATATCACCAAAAAGAAGATCTACAAGCTGACAATAATACAAAAAAACAATACAAAACAAAGTGTAGAAAATAAAAATAAACTACAAATAACAAACTACAAAATACATAACATAAATAAAAAAACAAACAAACAAGCAAACTTTAACTTACCTTTGCCCCAATTCTCTAAGCATTAATGTCAATCACACATAGTCTAGCCCTAAGTGTGTTGAAACTGTCCTAATTGAGGAGTTTGATAAATGTCTTCCAATTAAAAGTTCAATAGCAGCATACAACAATTTTTTAACTCTCTTTAGCTACACGGTGTTTATGTATTGTACAATTTTAAATATTCTATTTTTTAAAATAAAGATGGTCTATTTTTCACATGATCCACTGTTGTCCCAACAATTTCACCTAAGTGCAATCATTAGAATATCACTAGTCCAATTTAATTCTTTCTTGACTCACTTATTGATATGTCCAAATATATCCATACGAGACATTTCCTATTGTATTTAGTGTTATCATCAAAACAAGTTAAATTCATTCTGTCTAGACATATGTATTGGTAGGTCCAAATCCATCTACACGAAGTACTCTAAGTGTAACCACATGTTTAATTGAATTATAGGTGACCTTTGTTTCCTTTCTTGCTTTTCATGCTTCATAGGTGTGTTCTGTTTAAAGGTTATGATTGAGAATTACATTTAACTAATAATTACTAGGTGATCTTCCAAAATATCATCAAGCTAGCATGTCATGATATACCAATTACTCCAAAATCATTGCCCAAAATAGCACACATTGTTCATTAAAAAATATTTTAAACTAACAATTATCATTTTCAAAAATTAATTTGAACATAACAATCATTACTTATCAAAAAAATCAATTTATCATTATAATCCTAAATAATTTCTTAATTCTTAATCAATATATTTTATTACAAATAAATATTATGGATATTTTGAAGAAATACATTTAATATTAAAATGTTAATCTTAATTGAATAATGCTTAAAAAATTATATGAATTCTTCTACAAAATATTTTAACACATACTATATAAAATTTTACCAATGATACATGCACGTGTTACATTTCTAGTAGTGCAATCTCCTAATGTAACTTTACCTTTACTCTTGATCTCCATCAACATTGAGTATTTCAAATCTCCAGTTAGATGTTGCATCCACTGTCCAGGTACTATCTGCTCTCATGGGACCTCTTATGAAAACACATCTACACACTTAATCAAACATCAATTTTGAGAACCAAAGTGGGTTTGGATCCCACCTTACGCTTAAATCTATGTATACCATGCATGTTATGTTGTGATGCTAATGCTTTGGGCCTCTAGATTAGACGTGTTTTAAGGTGAATTTTGCAAGTGCGTATTGTGTCCTTGTATGCCACAAGAATAACACCTAACCCAATAAATGGGTTAACTAATCTATGTTGAGGGTAATACCTTTGCTTATGAATATATGATGTATGCTGTATCTTTGGTTTTGGCTGTATATGCATAGGCCCATGTGTGTTTTGTTGAATGCGCTTATTTTTTTAATAGATATTCATTTGCACTCTTTTCAACGCCTAGTTCAACTAATAATTCAGGCTCATTGCTATCTAATTCTAATGCAAGTGTTTCTAGCTCCTTGAATGTTTTCTCTAACTCAATATGCTCATCTTTCAAGGAATTATGTGATTTTATTAATTAAATATGTTTCCCATTACATACGTTAAATTTATCTAGTAGCGATGTATGCTCCTTATCTAATAAGATGTACTCGATTTTAAAAGTTGAATGCTCAATAATCAAAATTTTATGTTTTTCTTTTAAATAAAAAAAGTTTATTTTTCAAAATTGTATGCTACTTTTTCAACTTTCTATATGAATCATGAATTTGATAAAAAAAAGTTCATCATTGATAAGCTCACATACCTCATATTGTCTGTAATTCACAATTGAGTCATTTTCCATTAAGCATAGATTTGTTATCTCCTCCTCTAGTTCCTGTTATGATGAGTCAGAGGCTAAGTCTGCCCTGCTAATTTTTTATATTTTTTTGCTTTTCCCTTCTTATGATAGGCTTATCCTTACTATTTTTTTTTCATAGGGTGGCTCTTTAAATTGGGGCATTTAGACCTTAAATGTCTAGGCTTCATGCACTCAAAGAAAACAATGTCAAAAGAAAACTTATTACTTTTACCATTCTTACATTTGCCCCTATTGAGATGATGATTGAGCGTTTGCTTTAGGAAGCTTTTGAATTAACTTGTTATTAAAGCTTTTTCCTTTCTCCCATTAGCTCTTGAGTTAGAGCCATCTATATCATTAGCCTTTAGCGTCATAATTTTCTCCTTTCTTTTATCACATGTATCAAAAGTCTTTGGCTCATATTTTGCTCGTAAGCAATGAGAGAGCCTAGTAAGTTATCAATAGAGCATACATTCAAGTCTTTAGATTGACATAATGCAGTGAATTTAGCATCAAAATTTTTAGGCAAACAACGTAAACTCTTAATAACATTTTCAGAATTAGATAGTTTCCTTCCTAAGACATGCAAGGATGTCACTATCTTAATAAACCTAGTGTACATTTCGGAAATAGCCTCATTAGGTTTCATATGAAATAGTTTGTACTCATACAATAACAAATTGAGGCGAATTGCTTCAATTCATTTGCATATTCATAAGTAATACAAAGCCTATCTCATATCTCAGCACCAGTAGTGCAGGTAGAAACATGCATGTAATTTTTGAATTTTAAACCACAAAAAAAAAATAATTTAAGCATTTCACATTTAGTTGTGCAACATCCCTATCTTCTAAACTCTATTCAGTAAATGAGATTTCAGTTTTAACACCATTAACAATAAAAAAGGGAGCATAATATCTAATATGTATCATATGCCATATTTTATAATTAATCTAATAGGAAATTATTAAATAATGGTGTACATGTTATTAAACAATCCTCCACATTATTCCTATTCCCAAATTATGCCATGGATCTTTTCTCAGGATTTTTAAGCCACTAATTCGAAGAACCCACTCTGATACCTAAAGGTGTCAAAATTTGGTTACGGGTTGGGTTCCAGTCGAACCCGACATTGAACCACTACTATTTGACCCGACCCAATTTTGCAAACGGGTAAAAAATCCCAACTCAAACCCAACCCTCATAGGTTACGAGTTGACCCGACCAGAACCCGTGGCGATCTGGATGGTGAACATGACTGGCGATGCAACACGATTGGAGACGCGACTAGACAGCGAAAATGACTGACGAGCTTGTCTGTGGACACGACTGGTGACATGACTGGGATGAGCAAGGTCGAACCCCAATCGTGCACTTCCTGGGTGAGGTTCTAAGCGAGTAGACTCCAGGACGATTAGACGAGGTCACGCGAGGCGAAGTCGAATCCGAGTACCTGACGAACCGATTTTGGGTGAATGGCCGGTCAGAATGGGTTTGTTTTGGCTTTCCAGGTCAACCCGAACCCTATCTAATTTTACAAATGAGTTAGAATCCCAAACCCGAACCTCCATTTCTCAAACGGGTTGACCTTAACCAGGAATTTTCGGGTTGGGTTCGGGCCGAATTTTCGGGGCTTGTCAAATATTGACACCCCTACCAAGAATGAAAAAAAATGGAGGTAAACCCTCCACACCCCTCACCAAGAACAACAAACTTGAGGTTTGAGGCAACAGAACAACCAGATTGATCAACAAAATCAGATTCAAAACATAACAATTATGACAAGTTCGTAAGTTATTTAAGACATTTTCATATATTGTTGATAAGACAATAAACTCACTCTATTATCATATATATTCTAAGATGCAAAAAAAAAAAAAAAGGTAATAACTTTTTTACATTGTATTTTCAAATTCAAACGGCCAGCTTGTCTTAGCCAGATACAATGACAACAATTTTGTATTTACTAATATGTGTTGAATGTTCAATGGTGAGTATAATTTTTTAAATTATTTATTTTTGTCAGTTGTATAGCCAGATAACAACATTATCTACCAAATACAGTGTGTTTGGGTTAGCTTTTTCTCATTTCCATGATTTATTAACTACCTAATTAGCATATATGACTCAATGGCATATAAACCCTTACATAAACTACCCATTAGAATATAGGCTGTATGATGATCTTTCATTGTTATCAAATTGTTTGAAGAACAAAAAACTCTTAATCTTAGGTATTATGAGATAATTTTTCTCAAAGACATATTTTACTGCTGTAATTATATAACTCTCTTAAAGCGTTCAATCTTTTTTTCCACTGAGAAAATTGTTCATTGATTGAAGCTTACTATTAACTTAACTAGTTCGACTATTCTTAGATATCCCAAACAGGGAATTTAGTATAAATTCTTTCCTAGCAACGAATTGATCATGTTCATTATATGCTGCTAATTTTTGAACGAACATATATAATACAGTACACTCTTTCAGCTAACAAATACTAATGGAAGCTCTATATAAGCTTCCAATGCAAGGCCTCAAGAACTTCTGAAGCTGAGAACAGAGCTCTATAAGCAATAGATGTACTGCACAACCAGTCACATAAGACAACTATAAACTTAGCCAGGGAGATTGAAGAGGGAATACAAGCTGTCGAGAGAGAGCGAAGTCTGTAATGTGCGGATGGAGGTAGTGAAGGACTGATATTCAGGCGGTAACCCGTTCAGAATGTAGATAATGATATCTTCGGGATCGACCGAGGAACCCGCCGAGGCAATCTGATCCACAATTTTCTTGATCTCAGTAAGGTACTGAGTCATAGTGAGATTCTGCATCGAGACATTGTGAAGCTCGTGCTTCAGCTGGATTACTTTAGATCGATTTGACGATTGGAACCGAGTATGAAGCGTAGACCAAATGTCGTGCGTTGATTCAAGATGAATCACATAGGGAAGCACCGACGGAGCGATTGTAGAACACATGGCTGTTGCAAGATTCTGGTCCGTAATGGACCAGATTTGAGGATCTTCATTTTCGGGCGCAGATTTGGATTCAAGAAATGCGGCGAAACCGTTCGCTTTGAAAAGCTTGGCAATCTGCGTACTCCAGATGGGAAAATTTTCTGGGCTTAACGCATGAGGAACAAGAAATTTCAAGTTAGAAATGACGAACTTGAGCGACGGTGGAATAGCCGGAGCTAATAGCGCGCCGGTCGTGGTAGCGGCTGTAGAAGACGAAGAAGCAGCGGATTGAGTAGCCATGGCCAGGTCTTGAGAACCGGAAGACTCTTGATACCATGTAGAAACTCTAAACTTTCCTTGAACAGCAAGAACACATCTTGAGAAGAAGATGAACAGTAAAAAGCAAAGTAATAATATGTATTTTCTTGTTTTTACAGGTTACAGAATAGGTCCTTAAATAGATGGCTAGGAGTTGCTTTACACATGTCACGATATTAGAGGATTACAAGAATAGAGAGTTTAAACTAATTTGCTGACTGTACACTTTGTTTAAGTACACTAACACTAACTACATCAAACTAGAAGGGATGAAACGGAACTCGAGTATAATTTTTAAGCTGTCTATCAAGTGAGTCAAAACACTTTTATATGTTAGAACTAGATTTTTTTCTACAAGAAATTACAGCCTGAAATAAAAAATCTGGCATGTAGAATTCAATGCTAATGAAATGTTAACAACTAAACACTTCTCTCCATAAGAAAATGAATAAGCAATATTGTTTACAATGCATAACTTATAATTATAAAAAAAAGCACTACAAAGAGTTCAACATTCTAAATTTTAAAGACTTGAGAATATCACCCACTTGTTTCCTTTGATCCTAAACCAAGTTTCTGCACATTGTTTGTGAGCAGCAGCTAGATCATCCTTGCAAGAGCAACCCAAGACGATTGGAATGCCTGATTCGTGACTATAGATCTCCAAACTGAGATGACAAATCCGGCAATCTCTTTCATTTTTTTGAACATTCTGATCATCTTCTGAAATCACACACTCCAAGTCAACCTCCATCGAAGAATTCGACATACAAGAGTTTCTGCAAAACTCTAAAGCTCCACTTAGATGATGACCGGAAGCAGAAGAAGACCTTCGCTCATAATAATTTGAACCAGAAGATGAACGCCATGGCTCATCTTCTGCATCAGAGAAGCATAAGCTGCCATCACTCTCTTCAACAATGGAAGAATGTGGAGAACCCATTTCTACATCTTGGGTTGATTTTCCTGTCTTCATATGCATTTCAAAGGATGAGTGATCAGATTTAGAGAAACAATAACGATGAAACCTTTGAGAGGCTTGATATACATCAGAGGAGACATGAAAGGATTAGCAAAAGGGCAAAGTTTTGGAAAATAGAGAAAGGAAAAAGAAATCTATCAGCATTTTGTTTTACTACATGAATAGTGTGCCTCACAAGACTGGAGAAAGTATATGGTGTCTAGAATCCCAAAAATATGGAGCTTATAAATATGTGCTTTTGTCCTTTTGTCATCTATTTTTTTGGGGCAGTCGAAAGATTTAATTTTAATTATTTTTAGTATGTTAAGAGTTGTAAGAATGGGGAATTTATTTTGTGCGGAGTCCCGACGCGATGAACCATCCGAATTTACTGTATATTTTATAAGTATTTGCTGTTTATTCTAAAAAATGCAGTAAATACTCACAAAATACACAATTGTGAGTATTACTGATTTTGTGAGTATTTGCTGATTTGCTGTGTATTTTGTGAGATTTACTGTGTATGTTCAAATACGTAATAAATCTCACAAAATATGCATCAATCCGGACGGTTCTTTCCGTCCAGACTTCATAGAATGTGCTTCAAATGTGATTGAAGGAGAAACTAACCACCCCATGACTGATCTTGCAACCATATTTTTCTGAATACATAGACAAAAGAAAAATAAATAAGAAAAAAAAAGCAATAAAACAAATAATTATTGATCTTGCCTTTGTGACGAAGAAAAGCTGATATAGATGGTTTTCTGTCACTCTCAACTGGGTCCTCAAGAGCACATGTGCAGTAGTTGGAATAGGAAGAAGTGCCACACTTTGTTTAAGCAAGGAACATGATGGTTCTAGTATTTTAGCTTGCTGCATTATTAAAGGAACATAGAACATAATTGGACCAGGTTGGAGAACTTTTAGGTAATTATCTTCTTCTTAATGTTGCAGGTCCACTTTTGATGTTAATATTGCAGATCTTCTTTTGATATCAACGTTACAGTTCTTTTCTTAATTGAGGGAAATTATTGGTGCTTCTATTGCAGGTTCTTTTGATGATGAAGGTTTCCTTTGTTCTTCTTGTTTCCTTCTGTTATTAACAAAATTTAACTTAAAAATACGTATCAAAAGAAGTATTGTTTTCAGTATATGTATTTTTTGGCATTAATTATAACATCCGAAACAAAATATAAAAAGGAAAGAAGAAAAATTAGATACTAATTAATTAAGTTATTAGTTTTGCTGATAATTTTCTTTAAAATATTAAAAATGTTTTGAATTTTAATTGCTCCTATATCGAATGTATAAAAAAAAACTCAGATATGGAATTAGTGATGCGTGAGAAAACCTCTCGAAGTATTTAACTCAAAGAGGAATTGGATGATTAAAAAGCAAAAGCTTTGTACAGATGCTCGAGTCCTTATCAATGTCTCCGCGCATGCTTCGCTTCCACAGTTTGAAAAATCATGGATACATGTCATTACATAATAATATTTTGTTAGTTTGTGTGTGGAATCTGATTGTGTTGATCAATCAGATTGCATTGTTGTCAGGGACCTCAACTCAATTTATCTTGTTCGCTAGGGGGAGGGGGTGCGGGTGGTCCTCCTCAAGCAAAAATTTTTTTTTTTTCATACAACATCCAAGCATCCCAACATTATGCTTCTAAGAACCCGGTGCTGGAAAGTTTGTTGGGAGAAACGATAGAGAACAGAATGCTGCAGCTCTGTATTCTCAACGCCACAGCACTGCCAGACAAACGAAATGAGAGGTTGACTGTTGCAAAGCTCCAAACTGGCGTTGTAGCGCTTTGAGGCGGATTGAACATTTTTCTTTCTTGTTTTTCCTAAGATTGACATCCCTTGGTGATATTTACTTGACTTTCTCTTTTGTTTTGTTAGGAATGATGCAAGAATGTAGAGAAGCAAGGAGAGAGCGAGAGAGAAGAGGGATCTGTATTTATTTTTCTCAATTTTCATAATGGATTTCTTAGTGTGGTGTGGCTCCTTGGTTTTTCCCGATTTTGAATTTTTCCATATAAAATCTTTGTGTCCTTTACTTTCCGTTGCATTTCTATTATTATTATTTATTTCGTTATGATGTTTTACTTCCATCCCCAATATTTTTTTTCTTTTTTTATAATGAATTTTAAATAAATTTTACTTCCATCCCCAACATATTTAAATCAAATGGTTACATAAGTTATATTTTTTAATTTTTTTTAAGAATGAAAATTCATTAAGAAAATAAAATAGTACGTGAAGAGCCCTTAAGAAACATAGGGCTTAAGCAGATGAAAAGTACTAATCACTGATAACAACAACATAAAGGAAGGTCAAAAAACAAATACAAGAGGACTCAGGCCGCCACCTGGTTGCCAGGCTTGGGCCGTCCAGGAAGTGTCGCTTGCATCGAAGTCATGGCCTTCCGAGGGGCATCATCATCATCCACAAAAGCAAATCAAACCCAAAAAAAGAAGATTACTTATTTTTGGAATTACGAGTTCTACGTTTGCCATTTCGTTTAAAAGATTCCGGTCGAGGTCCAAATAATCCTCATAACCATATTCACCATCAGCTGAGAAGTTATCAACATGTAGCCATTCACCCCGAACCACCTCACTGTCCCTCGAAATCCTAGAATGCAAATCATCCTTCGAAGAAAAAGTTAAAGGCACATTTAAAAGAGGCTCTTCAAGAGAGTTAGACAAGGGTTCATTACCCTCAGAAAGGGCACAAAATTCAGCAACAATATCCATAGTTCCAGTATCACCACCAGTAAAAGCTTTAGCCATACCCTTAGCATCAATCTGATTCACCAAGCCCATAATAGAAGGCAAATTACTCTCACTATCCCTATGAACTGAAGGATCAACAGCTAAATCAACCTCATCTATAAGACAAACACACCCAGGCAAAGAGGCGGCGCCAGACACAGACCCCAAATTGGGAATAGCAATAGGCCGCACCCTAGGTGAATTAGAAACATCAACACCCTCACAGGCCTCACCAGCCGATATAAAATTAACATCAGTTAAAGGGGCCATGTCACTGGCAACATTACGGGTAGCAGGGGAGGAAACGTCACCCACAACACTATCATTAACAGACAATAAAACATCATTCGAAGGAGGAAAAACATTCGCAGGAATAACATTCTCTACAAATGGTAGAGCAGAATTCGGGATAGAAGAAGTAATCAGAGCAGGACTCATAGAAGGAATAGACATAGCGATCTCAGCCAAAACATCACCAACAGGCGAAGCCTCTGGAACCGACGGAGCCACCACAGGTCCTCCCACCCCCAAAATAGACAGATGAAGGGTAGAAGGGACAAGATTCGGATAAAGAATTTTACAACCAGCTTTAGAATGCTCCAAGGATGAACAATGCACACAATACTCTGGAAACTCTTCCAAAACCATAGATTGCACTTAACCAGAGTTTTTCGGACCAATCCAAACTTTATCAGGAAACTGTTTGGACACATCAAGTTCAACCAAAATGCGCACAACAGACAGACGAGAACCGGTAGAGGTAGCATTATCAGTACGTTTTCAAAGGTTTGCCAAAAATCAATCCAAGGCCATGAAGAATACGCGGGGCATACAAATGAGACCGAAGGTTTGGAAAGGAAATCCAGATGGGGATAACAGGAGACTCGATCTCAACATCCAAGGTAGGAGATCATTTAATCAATTTCATAAAACAATTATTCACAAAATAAGATCTATGAGCAAAGACCCTACAATAATCCAAATCATTGAAGAGCTTAATCAACACATTCTGCTGGTTAAGAACGGTGACAGAAACTTCTCCATTAAGCTTAAGTTTAAAGAAAAAATTCCTAATTGCATAAAGAGAAGGCCTTCGGCCAAGAAATTTTCCCACGAGAGCAAATTCGAAAGGGACAGACAGGGAATTGATTTCCACCTCCGATATCCACAGAGCTGGCATGCCTCTAAACGAAGAAACCTTAAGTTCGGGAAAAGCAACAGAGGAAGAAGAAGAACTAGAAAGAGCATCTTTAAATGAAAGAGGAGAATAACCAAGTAAAAAAACCGGGATCTCTAAGTTGGGAAGGAGCCATAAAACCAGAAACAAAGAATCAAAAGGAAAGAACTTCGCTTAAGCACGAGGAGAAGCACCAAGCTCGGAAGGCGGAGACGGCCGCAGGAAGGAGCTAGGGCGAGGCATAACTTTTTAATGGAGAGGCATAACTTTTTAATGGTTACATAAGTTATGATGATGAGGATGTTTAGATTGTAATCAGAATATTCAAACAAAAAATTCACCTTTAAATTGAAAATCAAAATGTATTTTTCAGTATAGTAGAATCAATCTGGCCGTTAGTGCAGGAAAATAACATTTGACACTAAGCTCAAATTTATGTAAGTTATGAAATTTCTTTTGAGAAAACTGTATTTCAGAATTAATTTTTTTTTTATTATAACGATTTTCTGAATCAATCCTAATAAGGATTTTTTTTTTTTTGTTTAATTTTTTATGTTATTATAATCCTAATAAGGATTTGTGTTTGCATATAGGGCTATGAATAACTGACACGACCCGAAAACCCGACTCGAACACGACCCAGAATTTTTGGGTTGGACACGACCCGTTTGAAAAACGGGCCAGGTTCGGGTTCATAAAAGTGACCCGGATGGAATTTCGGGTCGGGTCCGGGTTAACCCGGTAACCCGATAACGGACCCGTTTCGACCCGCGGTTTATTTTAACGCGGCGTAAAACGCGTGTCGGCGTGCGGGACAGCTCACGCTTACGCGGCTCGCGGGATTCATTACGACTTAAGGGTTAGGGTTTCATCATTCTCATTTCACGCGCCCTAAACTCGAGCTCTCCTCTCCTTCGCTGCTTCGTCTAGGGTTTCCCGTTTCCGAATATCGTTTTCTTTTCTACAGATCTCCTCGATCTATCGACGATTTACTCTCTTCTCCTTCTGTGGCAGATTCTTGGTCCGTGGTTTCGTGGTGTTCATCGTGCACATCTGCTTTGGATCAACAAGAACACTTACCTCTCTCGCTGTTTGTATCTCTCATCTTCTTTCCTTTCTTCTCCTTTTCCTTTAATCTACATATTGTGAAATGCGAAGTTCCTTTTGGGGTTAGGGTTTTTCTGATATTCTGGTGCAAATGAGCCAAGTCGAGCTCGATTTTGTAGTTTTCTTTGTTTAGTTTTTGCTGGTTTTTTTGTTAGGTTATTGCAGTGATGCACTTATGTGGTTGAAACGAGCCAAGTCGAGCTCTATGCTATCGTATTTCTATTAAGTTTCGACGATTTTTTTATGTTCACTTACTGCTGTTAATTCTGTGCAATAGAGTTCGAGCCATGTCGTGCTCTATGTGCTGCAGTGCTGGTATTTTTGTGCAAGTTCTGCTGTTATTTCTGGTGCAATTCTACTGTTATTTTTATGCAGTTTTGCTGTTAGTTCTATGCAAACTAGCTCTGCTCTATGTTTCGGTATTTCTGTGCAGTTTCTACTGTTATTTCTGTGCAGTTCTATAGATGGTTTTCTGTCACTCTCAACTGGGTCCTCAAGAGCACATGTGCAGTAGTTGGAATAGGAAGAAGTGCCACACTTTGTTTAAGCAAGGAACATGATGGTTCTAGTATTTTAGCTTGCTGCATTATTAAAGGAACATAGAACATAATTGGACCAGGTTGGAGAACTTTTAGGTAATTATCTTCTTCTTAATGTTGCAGGTCCACTTTTGATGTTAATATTGCAGATCTTCTTTTGATATCAACGTTACAGATCTTCTCTTGCAGGTTCTTTTGATGATGAAGGTTTCCTTTGTTCTTCTTGTTTCCTTCAGTTATTAACAAAATTTAACTTAAAAATACGTATCAAAAGAAGTATTGTTTTCAGTATATGTATTTTTTGGCAGTAATTATAACATCCGAAACAAAATATAAAAAGGAAATAAGAAAATTTAGATACTAATTAATTAAGTTATTAGTTTTGCACTTTTGCTGATAATTTTCTTTAAAATATTAAAAATGTTCTGAATTTTAATTGCTCCTATATGTGTTGATTAATTGGGTTGCATTCTTGTCATGGACATCAACTCAATTTGTCTTGTTCGCTAGGGGGAGGGGGTGCGGGTGGTCGTCCTCCAGCAATTTTTTTTTTTTTGTTTTCATACAAAGCTCTAATGTTGTATTCACGAGCATCGATCCTAGCATTATGCTTCCAAGCACCCCGGTGCTACAAAGTTTGTTGGGAGAAACGATAGAGAGCAGAATGCTGCAGCTCTTTATTCTCAATGCCACAACACTGCTAGACAGATGAAATGAGAGGTTGAGTGCTGCAAAGCTTCAAACTGACGCCGCAGCACTTTGAGGCGGACTGAACAATTTTCTTTCTTGTTTTTCTTAAGGTTGGCATCCCTTGGTATTATTTACTTTACTTTCTCTTTTATTTTGTTAGGAAATGGTGCAAGAATGTAGAGAAGCAAGGAGAGAGCGAGAGGGAAGAGAGATTTGTATTTATTTCTCTCAATTTTCATAATGAATTTTTTGGTGTATTGTGGCTCCGTGGTTTTTCCCGATTTTGAATTTTTCCATATAAAATCTTTGTCCATTACTTTCTGCTGCATTTCTATTTTTATTATTTATTTCGTTACGATGTTTTACTTCCATCCCCAACTTTTTTTTTTCTTTTTTATGATGAATTTTAAATAAATTCTACTTCCATCCCCAACATATTTAAATCTAATGGTTACATAAGTTATGATGATGAGGATGGTTAGATTGTAATCAGAATATTCAAACAAAAAATTCACCTTTAAATTGTAAATTTATGTAAGTTATGAAATTTATTTTGAGAAAACTGTATTTCAGAATTTAATTTTTTTATTATAACGATTTTCTGAATCAATCCTAATGAGGATTTTATTTTAATTTTTTTTAATGTTTTTATAATCCTAATAAGGATTTGTGTTTGCAGATAATATTTAAATAAAAAATTTTTGAAATTAAATTCAGAACCCAACGATTTTCGATTTCAACAAATTTGTAGTAGAACTTAAGATATTGGCGAGGCAAACTCAATAACACTACAAGTGATCGAATCTGACCTAAACAAGCTCAAATCAAGCACCTGAAATACATTTGAATTTTTTTAATATTAATTAAAGTACCAAATATTCTCCTATGTATATTGGAGTGCTTATAGTCAAATCAAGCGGTTCGATGAGAGATATCGAATAAATTTCAGATCATTCTATTATGACATCATCAAAGCTCTGACATGTTGTATAAATGATCTAATGATCAATTGGATAATTATAAATTGTATGATGGAGTGTTTTAGGTTTTAACTAAGACTTCGTTTGTGACGGCTTTTTTACTGCTTTCTAAAACGGAGTTTTAATACAAAAATAATAAAATTTGTACTAAAAATCCGTTTTAGAAAGCAATAAAAAAGCAGTCCCAAACGAAGCCTAAATTTATCTAAATCTAACGAAGCCTAAATTTATCTAAATGTCCTCTCACAAAAAAAAAAAAAAACTATAAATAGGAACCGATTATGAGCAATTCTGTGTTCATGGGCCAAAATATTTAGGTGCTACGAATTAACAAGGGAGAATAAAAGATAATTATTTTATCATGATTTCATTAGAGAATCACTTTCATTATGTAGTTTATTAATTAAGAGAAAATGCTCATGAAAGCCTTTGTTGGCAACATTAATATTTTCCTCTAAGCGTAGTAATGAGTGGAGTTCATGAGACTATTGGGTTGTAAGTAGGGGTGTTGAAATAGGTTTTTTAGATCGGGTTCGAATCCAATCTGAAATTGATCCCCCAATCAATTGATCCAACAATAATCCGAACTAGTTAGACAAATAGGTTATAAATCCATACCGTACATGACCCGCCCCTAATCTGAAATGACTTTATCCAGCCCATTGACCCAATTGAGCGCAACTACACGAGCCTTAGGCGAGTGCGAAATTGCGAGCGGGTGAGCTTCATTGCGTGAACGGGCTAGTGGGTGTTCAGGCGTGTGCAGACGAGCATGTAAGGGGCCGAGTGGTGCGGGTGAGCTGGCAAGGGGGCATGCCACGTGCGGTGTAGTGCCTGCGGGCAAGCACAAGGACTACTGCATGCGCGGGTCTGTTCCAGGCTATTTTCATGTTTTCTAGTTGACCCAAACCCGATTACAATTAGCAATCAGGTCAAGATTTGAAACTTGAACCTGACCTATTTTTCAAAATGATTTATCCGAACTCAAAATTTTTTGGGTCCTATCAAATATTAACACCTCTAATTATATGTTAGGTTGAATAACTGTCTTGATGGCATTATAGCTTCAAAGTACGCAACTAAAAGTGTATAAGATTATATCTTCAGATTTTAAGCGTGATATGGTAGCGACGATTTTGTCACTTGTGATAACAGAAAGAAATTTGAGTTATTGATTTATTCTTTATCGAAATGTAAAACAACCACACTGTAAAACAAAGAGATTTAAATTATTTATTGAAGAAGATGTATGCAATTTTAAGCCTACAATGCTTTGATATCTTCCTCAAATTTGATCTGTTTCATTCTCCTACGACTTTCTCTCTAAATAATCTTTCTTCTTAAAAAATCTCCACTTTTAACTCCTAATGCATCCCCTCAAATCTATCAAGTAACGCTCACATTATTCCAAATTGGCTCTAAGCTTTCATAGATTTGTATCCTAACTTTGCAATTTTGGTATAATACTTCTTAAGCGCTCTTGCAATAACTTTTCTCAAGGTTATAGCTCTGCATTATTATGAGTCGGTGTCTAAGTTGCCGTTGACTGATCTATCAAAATTTTTAAAACTGGGCGCCATGATTATCACATGTCGCCACTGGGCTTAGAAGAAAATCACAAGAACCCAATTGTAGGGTGCGAGGGGTGCAAAATTTATAAAATAATTTCAAAGCAATGGAAATATAAGACTTAAAAAAAAATTGTATCCACCAATAAATCTTCAGAGCATCTAGACCCAAACAAATACTAAATGTCCACCAAATATAAATAAAAATTTCATTATACAATTAAATCATTTAAATAACTCTAATCTTAATCACCTATCATAAATAAACCTGATGCATGAACCCATAAATTTCACCGGAAGCAGCCCAAACTATCAAACCTGAAACCATGAAGTAAATATGTGTGAATTAGCAATAAACAAACTCAGTAGGTGAAACCCCACTAAAGAAAAACATAAAAAATAAGGCATGGGCATAAATATGAGCAAAAATGAGAATACAAGTAGAAACAATGTAAATGATATGAGATTTTTTAATATGCATACTTCATTTATGAAAGTAGAACTCACAAACAATTATTTGCCAACTAATAATCATTGCATTCAAATGCTGACTCATTCACTTGCAAGTATGTGATGTTTATACATCCACCAATGACTCATTAGCCATTTCTTATTTTTCTTTGTATATTAATTTATATATAAATATTTATAGTTGATTTACTACAATACCCTGTCGGGAAAGGTAAGCATCGATCCCAAGGAAATCCAATGATTTCATATAGAGTCGTCACTCTAAGGACTTGTCGATTCGGCTAGTCAATATCCAATAGGATTAAATATCGATATTTACAAGCATTAAACACACAAGCTTGTATTGTATGCATATTGCAATTCATTAATAGTGTTTGACAAAGGTTATAACATAATTAAGCTTAATTATATTTATTGCAAAATTCATAATTTGCATAGATAATAATTAATCAGAGCAATCATGATAAAATATATAAACTATTAATAAAACTATGAAACAATCAAAATGACAACACTAACTATTAGATCAAATCAAAATGATAACATGCAATGCTGGGAACGAATTATCACATTTTATCATACACATCATTCACATAAAATGAGTAGCAAGGGTAAAACCCCTAACAAGATAAAATACGTTTATCATTTACTCAGTAAAGAGTCACCTACTAGAAGTAGACCATAACAAGCCCCACTTTTTGATCATGCACTGATCTTCTCAATCAAACATGTGGTAATCCAAGAGAAAACCTTAATTCATAGGAATTTAAATCAATTAAACATTCAAGGCATTACACATTAAAATATTAAATAATTACATTAATCAATAAAAAAATATTTTTGAAATGAATAATTATACAATCTATCTTTCAATTGCCAATTAGTTATTTAATAATTTCTATATTAAATATCATTAATCAATATCTTATGAAATCCCTAATACAATTTTTAAGATGCCATCTAACCAACATCTTAAATTGATTTAACTATAAAAATTTTTTACCAACAAAATATTCACATAAAATCTCTTATAATCTCAAATACTCTTTGGAGACCAAATAATAACTCAAGTGAGAAACATACTTAGATTTGATCAAGGTAATTAAAATTTTAAATATAAAATTAAAAAGATGCTAAATAAGATTTATCTTATTCTAAAGTAAAAAGAAGAGTTCAAATCCTAAACTCTTATATACAATCATTAAAGGAAAACCTTATAATTTTATTATTAACATATATAAGGTTCCTAAATTCTAATCACCAAGAAAATATATAAATCATTAATTCTAAACGTGGAAATAAAATAAGATTTGGATTTCTACCTCATGTAAACAAAGAAGAAGAAGAAGAAGGACAATTTCATGGAAAATCCTTGTGGTTACCTCTACAAACAATAATTAACTCTTCATCTACTTTGCAAGCTATTACACAACAACCTCTTTCAAATTTCTAATCTTAAAAAAAAAAAAAAAAGAGAGATAATGGTGGGGGTGAAAGAAATAGAAATAGGAGAAGAAAGTGTCAATGACTGCCTAGCTTCTATCTCCATCTACTTCTTCCTCATTGACCTCATTGAAGCCATCAAAGCAAAGCCATCAAACCATGAAACAACTAACATGACCACTTCTTTATCTTGTTGGAATTTTGTGTGCAATATTGGGAGGCTGACGTTGACAATCACCTCCTCGAACCCTGCTCACACATTGTGTTTGACTTTGTGCTCCCTTCATGGCAGCTGCTCTCCCTCTTTTCATGCCCTAAATCTCGATTCAAGACTTAAAGGCACAAATGGACTTAATAAGATGTGAGATGATGAGAACCGGTTTAGTTCAACCTTCACTTCTTCAGTATGTTATTATATACTCTCAACCTTTAAAAGAATTTCACCCTCAAAATTCAAATCAATCTCGAGAGTAATTTGCAATAAGACAAAAGAAATCTTTAATTTAAGCATAATTTCTAAAGCATATATTTCATTTCATCATCATCAAGGTTCAACTTAAGTTTAAGCATTACACATGCCATTTAAGTGCAAACATTCATTGGCATTAAAACATCAAAATTAAAGAGCAACTAATATGAAGTTCGAATTTCATTGCATACCAAATTCATGTTTCACACATCATACCAATTTCATATTTCATGCACCATACCAAAGAAATATGAAAACACTACAAGATAATCGCCTACTACCGGCAGTTTTTTTCAACGGAACTGGACAAATTTCTGGCGGTAATGAGATTTTCCATCAAATTTTTTTTTCGTTGATATAAATCGCGTAGGAAATTAAAATTGACAGTTTATTTCTGGCTGCAATTATTTCCGGAGATTTTCTGGCGGCCATAGCCTAAATAGTACCACTTGGGCTATTATGGGCTCCAAGTTATGTATGCTAATGTTGGTGATGATTCTCCTTTGGCTCTCAATTAGGGACATGAGTTCATGCCTATTTTGCCTCTGGATCATTATGATAATTTGATTCACAGCTCTCATGGTGTTATTCGCTCTATTGAGTCTGGGGACAGTCTAGAGTTATCTCTGGAAGTGACAATGGCTAGTTTTAATACTATGGGGGCTATTTCTAATACTTTGGTTTACGATGATGAAGTTGTGGGATGTTAGGTGGATAGGGATATTTGTCAAGCTAACTTAATGGTGTAGAATGAATTGTCTGGTGATGTGGATTTTGTTGATTCATCGATGGTTGATGTTCAATCGCCCTCTCTTATGTGTTCGGGTGGCGTTGATCGCCTTGTTGATGTGCATATTGATCTGATTTCACCTTATGCTTTGGATCCTTCACGATTTGTCTGGGCTTGATGTATGTCGAGTCATTAATAATTCTTTTTCTCATGTGGGTAAGCGTCGTAGACACAAATAAAAAAAATAATGATGTTTATCTTTGGTGATTGTTGTGAGTTTGGTTGTGGTACCTTTTGTAGGCTGTTCTTGTGGAATTCATGCAGGATTTGTTGGGTTGTTTGTTTGCTGTTGTAGTTGGGGCGTGGTGGTGTGGTTTTGCCCTTGGTTGTGTCCAATAGCTTTGGGTGTGTTGATTCTTGGCTATGTTTATTTTTGGATGTGTCGCGTTTCGTTTTCGTGACTTCATGATTGTTGTGTTGGGCTTTGGTTGGGTGGCTATTGGCTGCCCTATATGCTTATCTCTTTTCTCTATGTTTGTACATGTCTATGTTGTGGCTGTGGTGCTTGTTCTTGCTTGGATGTTGTTGTTTCCATCCTGTTCTCGGTAGTGATTCTCAATGAGGTGGTGGGTTTTCTTTATTTAATATTTTTGTATTGTATTTAGTCGGATCATTAGCTCTTATATTTTACTTTAAAGGCTATATTTTTTGTGAGTTTTTGATCCTCTAAGGACATGTATTATTATCGTTTTTGGAACGCGTAGGCTCCAAGTGAGGGTTTTCTCAAAAAAAAAAAAGAAAAAAGCTCCAAGTAATGTACATTCAACATCTATATGTCAAAGAAATTGATTAAATACTAGAGTGATTGTCTTAAGTTCTTCCTCATGCATAAAAGAGTCTATGAATTCTTAAATGTACTGACTTTTAGCATATGAAATATTATCTTTATTTATAGTTGATGGAGGTAACAATATTTTTATTTTATCAGTAATAATTAAGTTTTCAGGTATATGTTAAGTTATGATAATTTGGTTTAAGTAATAAATAAATAAGTGAGGTGTTAATTAAATATTTAGTTTGCTAGAAAATGATAAGGTTTTAATTCAAAATTAATAAGATTTCAATAATGTTAAATTTTTGTAATGCATTATACATAATTAAATTATTAGGGTGATAGGGAATTAACCAGTTTTTAGACTAATTAAAATTCATGATTATCAATAATATTTATTTGTTTTAATTGTGGTAATTAAGTTTAGAATAATTAATCAGCTCAAAATTTATAAGAGTAATGCATATTTAATTATTTACTTATGCTAAATTGGGTTTAGTTAGAGTATTTATTAAAAATTCAATTCTTCTTTTTAATTGTAGAATATTAAATCATAAAAATTGGGATCAAAAGCTAGTAGAAATTTTGAAGATAATCAATATATATATATATATATATATATATATATTTTTAATGCTCCCTTTATATATATAATATGAACATATATAACATGTAACTATAATATAATTCGTTTCCTTTGCATCATTTATATAGAAATTAAGAATGAATGCGTATAACAAATTCAAACGGCAACTGAAAAAAACATGAAAAAAACCTAAAGAGCTAATTGAACGACACTCAAACAGAAATCACAAACGAAGTAGAACAATAGTACGTAGTAGTACTCATCATAGTACGTAGCTTATTTAAGAGCGTTTGAAGCTGCCTTCATTAGCTGATGTCTTCTTTGAGGTTCCTTGGCAGCACATGCACGAGCAGTCCGTTCTTCATGAAGAGTGTTAGAGACATCTTCTGCTGCACACGATGCCCGGCCATTGGCTCAAGGCGGTGGCGCAGCAGCACGGCGGACGCGATCGTCTTCATCTGGAGATAAGCCAAGTCCTTTCCCAAACACGTCCTCGGACCGGCGTTGAAAGCCACGAATCGGTACTTGTCCATACTTGGCTCAAACTGTAAGCTGCGGCCGCCGTCAGACGTCGTCAGCCAACGTTCCGGCTTGAATTCCAAGCAATCTTTCCCCCATATTGCCTCCATTCTACCAGTCGAGTAGATTGAGTACGTAATCGTTGAGCCTGCCTTCACCACTGTCCCATCCGGGAGCACGTCGTCGGCCACAACGTACTTTGAATCCTCTGGAACAGATGGGTAAAGCCGCAGAGTCTCTGCCAGTGCCGCCTTTAGATACACGAGTCGTTCGAGCTCATCGAATTCCAGAGGATCCTCCACCCACTTGCTTGCATCTGGTCCTCGGGTTTCCCTCAGAACCGACGCTATCTCCGCCAACACCTTCTTCTCGATATCCCGTCTCTGCATTAGCGTCCAGAAGAACCAGCTGAGCGCGACAGAGGACGTGTCTCTCCCGGCCAAAACAAAATTAAGGGCGATCCATTGCAGGACGGAGAGAGGAAACGCATTGCCGTTTCCATCTTTCTTTTTCATAAACCTTGAAAGCAAGTCATCGGATGGGTTGTCCGTTCGAACATGAATGGCCTCCGTCATGTATCGGTCGACCACTTTCAGGCTTTGACGGAGGTTGCGCTCGCTGCCGAGACCCAGAACTTTCTTGATACGCCAGAAAACGCCGGGGAAGAGGAGGCGTTGGAGCGTGGCCTCCGTGGCCGTGTCAAAAGCTCGGGCGAAGGGATTGTCGGGAAGGTCAGGGGAGAGCGTTTCGGGGTCCTTTCCGAAGGTGAGTCCACATATGTTGTCGAAAGTGAGGCGGAGGAGAAGATCTTGCAGGTCCACTGTCGTTGATGCATTCGAGTGGTCGGCAAGAATGCGCCATAAGCGGGTCTTGATGGACCTGTTGGCCCAACGGGCCATGGCTTGGCGGAGCGTGCGGGTCGTGAACTCCAGTGCGGCGGTCTTCCGCTGGAGAAGCCATGTATCACCGTCGGAGTTAAAGATGCCTAGCCCCAGCAGATCGTGGAAGGCCGATTGCCAAATCGGACCTTTTGGATAGTTATCGAAGCGGGTGCGGAGAACATGCTCCATGTTGCGCGGATTGGCGGTGACGGTGACAAGCCCCTGGCGTACGAAGGGTAGTGGAAGTACGCTGGTTTGGTATGTCGCCGCAGAGCCGGTGGATCGAAGGTTTTCTGCGATCCAATCGTGAATCCTGCTGCGATTAGAGATTAGCCCAGGCAGGCTGCCGACGAAAGGCCACACCTTGGGACCAGTAAGTCTCCTGCTCAGCAGCCAAAACCATGCCATGTATGTGAGCGCCAGCACAACCAAGAGCGCCGCCGCCACTCGGCCCACCATTTCCATCTCCATGATTTTCTTCTTAATAATCCGCGGCTGAAGGGAAGGAAAGTTGGCTGCTTTGGGATATTTCGTTTTGCATGGATTGGCCTTCTATTTATACTGCTCGTCCACGTTTACAATGCAGACAGAAGCTTGGTGACCGTTGTGGATTAGCCAAATTGAAAAGCTTAGTAGCTGTATTATCGATTAATACGCACAAGAATGCTGTGAGTTGTCGGCAGGATTTTGTTTTGGGATAACTTGTATATATTTTTACTGTTTTTTAATGTAAATATATACTTTTTAATTTCTTGTTTTTGACAAAAAAAATAAAAAAAAATTCGAGTTGGTCTGATGCATTGCATTTTTTATGGCAAGCAGTGCACTCTAATTAATTTCGAGAAAATATAATGAGTACAACTGTTTAGAAAGTTCAGAAAATTTTGGATTTATTTTAAATTTATTGAATTTCTTTTGAAATTAAAATAGTAATTAATAAATTAAAGAGCGACAGTTTTAGTTACCTAAAAGGATAGGTGAAAGCCAAAGGGATGGCCCGTTAACAAACCTTTCTTCAGAGTGAGAGAAAGTGTAAGAGCTATTTCTCTGCTTTGGTCTTCGGAGGTTCACCTGCTGGAGAAAATGGTTAACGTCGCTTAATTATTTATTTAATTTATGATTAACAGCACTTTATTGCTGGATTAAAATAAAAGGCACGCATGCAATTAATAAGGTGAAATCTATGAAATCAATAATATCAGCTAAAAAATTAGACGATAATATTTATTTCAGAATATGATATTAATGAGTTCTAAAATTTTCAACTCATTTAATTTAAGATTTGTGTAATAACAAAGTTGATCGATTATTCTTATATATATTCACTCTTCTCAAAATAATTGTATTCATAAGGTTTCAATCTCCCTTCCAAATGTTTGTGTTGTTCGAATGTGGAGAATATTGATCATCTTTTTGTGAATGGTATTATTGCCCATAAAGTGTGGTATTATTTCAGTAATCTTGCCAATAAAATTTTTGTTTCCCAACATAATAATATTTTTTCTATTTTAGAGAGTTGGGTGCATGCTTCTAAAGATCATATTCTTAATCTGATCTCTATTCTTATTTTTTGTTATATTTGGAAAGCTAAAAACGATGCTAAGCAGCAATGATATCAATATGGATGCTTCCCAAATTATTTCAAATGTAAGACATAAAATTTTGCAATTCTATTCATACAACTTAATTTCTATTATGAATTTTCAAAACTGCATGGATATGGCCATTGCCTTTGGCGTTCCTGTGAGCGTTGGGACTATCAATTCGGCTGATAAGATTGTTAAGTGGATTAAACCCAAACCACCTTATGTTAAGCTCAATTCGAATTGGTCTGTTGGACCAAATTGTGCTGGTGCAGGTGGCATTATTAGGGATCAATTGGGCTGTGTTCTTGCTGCCTACGCTGCCCCTTTACAGTGTTCTAATGCTATTTTGGCTGAGCTTATGGCTTTATTTTATGGCCTGAAAATCTGTATCAAAATGGGTATTACCTTTGTGTGGATTGAGGTAGATGCTATGCTTCTTATTCAGATCATTACCAATGTCGTGCCTTATAATCCTCAAAACTTTTATCTTATTAGGAAAATTAAGAGTTCCCTTACATCTGTCAATTATTATATTTCTCATATTTACCTGGAAGCTAACGTCTATGCTGATTGGTTAGCTAAAAAGGGTTGTTATATTCATAATTATGAGGAGTTTGATGTAAGGAGATTACACCCTATGTTGAAAGGTATGATTAATTTGGATAAAGCTGGCCTACCTTATATTCGTAATGTTTGATAGTTTTATTCTTTTGGTTGGTTGGTGTTTTTCTGTTTCGTTATTAATAGACAGTTGGTGGCATCTGTGTAAGTGGCTGGCTTTTCTTATTATTTTGCTGATCTCTTTCTCCTTATGAAAATTGATCAGGTGGAGGTTTATGTTGTTTGTTGTCGGTGCTGGCAGTCGTTGGATAATGAATATAAGATTTTACTTTAGGCCTTAAACATTAACGTTATTGCTAAGCTGGATCCTTTGGATGTGTCTGCTTTGGTTCAGGTTGAGATTATGTGGTCTTATGTTTGGGGCCATATTTGGTTTTTTAATTTCTTGGCTACTTTAGTTGTTTGGGGACTCTTCTCTCAGTTCTCTACTGAGATGGAGGGTGTTACTACTTTAAACTGGAATTTTTATTTTTCTGATCATAACTGGTGTTGTTGGGGTCAAAACTGGATGGGTATTATAGTTGGTATTTGGGGCTATGTTTCAAAGTTGCTGCAAGTTTATGTTTTGCTGGGATGTTTCCCCTTTAAGTCCAGGTCCCGTAGGGGAGTTTTTTGGTTATAATATGGTCATCATTTTTTTATGGTGGCTGCATATGTCCAAACCTTGGCTAATTTTAAAATTTATGATGGCTGCTGGTTTACTGATTTGGATTGGATTAATGGCATTATCTTCTTTATGTTTAACTGTATTCTCACTCTTTTAGTTTGTAAGTTTTTTGTTCGTAGGTTTCTTGGGTGGATGCTTATTGATTTTCTTTCTTCGGACACTCAAGCCAATTTTGTCTTCTACGGATCAAGCATCATTTTTTGCAGGAAGTACGTGCTGAATTATTATCCCTTGATCTTCCTTTTTTGGGTGTTGTCTTCTTGCAGCCCTAGTATGTTATTAGGTAATTTGGTAATTTTTAGTATAAGAAAACACCGGCTTTTAGGTTTTATTTTGTAGCTCTTTTGAGCATTAGAAAGCTGGAGGTTTCTTTTAAGGACCTTGTAACACTGATTTTGATATTAACGCGTAGGCCCCTTAGTGGGTTTTAACAAAAAATAAATAAATAAATGTATTCATTTATTTATTTTTTGTCAAGAACTCTTTTCAAATGATGCAGCCTTCACTTTATTTAATATCTGAACTTCAGAAAAAAGGCTTTATAAATCAAGGGAGATTATGAAATAAATAACAACATGCATACCTTTATTATGCAGATCTTTAATTTTTCTCTCTTTTTTTCTATCTTAAAATTTAATTGATTTCTCTTTTTAGATTGAGAGAAACAGGAAGAGCTAGGAATAATTTCAAGAGGCAGAAGAAGCGGGGTCATGATTTTTTCATGAGTATAAGAAAGATTTCATTTAGGACAATAGCTTTTTAAAATAAATTTTTAGTACAAAAATATCTCTTGTTCAAAAAATTTGTGTTAACAATTCAATTTAGTTTGACTTTTTTAAGGATTATATGATGAACCATGTCTAGGATATGATTACTACTAAAAATTTTAGTTTTTAGCAGTATATTATTGCAGCGGTTTTTGTACACCAATAGAATCTGTAAGAAGGGCTGTGAGGGGTTCGACACCTGCAGATTCACTGCAAAATCAATTATTATTCTGATTGATAATGCAAATCATGTAATTTATTCATAAAAAATTATTTTAATCTCTTCAAGCTACTGTAAGTTTCTCCATTTTCTTTATACAATGTGTAAAATTTAACCTATTATTAACCACTGTTTTTGGTCCATTGGATGAATCTAAGAAGATTTTATTTTTGAATACATTTTTTGTGGTTGGTACCAACTGATCTAATATATGATTGTTTTGTGAAGATTTTAATGACACCATTTTTTAGAGGATTGATCCTCTGAGACCTTCCACCCATACTACAACATCACCGATCAAAGATGGGCACATGTTGATTCACCCTGAGGGTAACACGTACGTAATGCATATTTTATATTACTTAGATATTTTGAGAAGTAACATTTTCAACATATTATTTTGAGCAGGTTTCATTAGTTAAAGAAGGCCACACAAAAGATATAGGACATCATACAGAGAAGGTTTGATGCTCCATATATTTCATGGAAGAAACCCAAAGGAAGTGCACGACCTATGGTTGAGGGGGTTTGATGTTCGTAAGTAGTAATATTTGTAACATATGTCTATTTTTATTAAGCTAACAAAAAATATTTTATTTTTTATTTTCTTATATACAGAGATTTTTACTGATTGCCGGAGCATGATATAAGAATCATAGTGAATATTGAGAAATGCGGAGCAACTCGCATAGGAGACATGTTCACACGCATTAGGAAGACAGGCAACCTATTTTTTTTTTAGGTTTCCTTCCTAAATTTCTTTTTCTTTTTTCTCTTGTAACTTAGGACGGATCATTGAGCCTATAGTTTTTTTATTATTGTAGCTCTTCGAACATTAATGACATTTGATCCCTTTAAAAACTTGTAATCTTTTTATTAATTAAAATGCAGGCCCTTACATGAGTTTTAACTTAAAAAAAAAAACATAAGACAGAACATTACAGATAGACGAGCAGGAGATTAACGGCCAGTTATACATAAAGAAAGTATAGCAAAGAATGAAAATAGGAAAGCTAAAATAATTGTCTGGACTCCTCCTTTCTCTTTTGCTGATGATGAAGAATAGTCGCCAGGACATTTAAAAATTACACACCCACTCTCCGCATCAACAAGGGAAATAATCATAAAGAGAAGATAACAAGTTCTCACATAAAAGCTTGCCATATTCATCTTCGCAAAGAAGCTAGGTTTGGAAGGAGTGAATGCAAGAGGAGAGTGAGCAATAGGCCGTTTTATAGGCAAAATAAGGCTCATGTTTTATATTTAATTATTATTTTTCTGATTTGTTCAATATATTTAAAATATTTATTTGAATAAATCAATTTTCATATTAATATATGGGGGGGGGGGGGGCACGTACCCCCCTAAAAAAAAAAACAGTGCACTTAATTATTTGGAGAAAGATAGAGAGAGAGAGAGTGCAAATTATGCTCAAAGTATTGCAAATAATTTAATTTATAAAAAGGAGCAATTTTAAGTTTAAATTAGTTTAAGATTGTGTAAATAGTAAAATTTATATGTGAAAAATATAGATTATGTAAATCGCCCTAAAATAAATTACTCATATTTTTTCTTTTAGCATTAATCCAGATTTGAGACTCTCAAGAGATGATAACTAGAGATGAACTGTTATAATCTA